AAACTTAATAACTTTATTTTTTTTAAGAGGAAACTGGAGGGTTGTGAGTGTCTGGCAAACCATTTAGAACGATGATCAGTTCTGAGACCTGTAATATTGTTCAGTCTAACCTGTGTTCACTGAGAAGCATAGTGGCTGTAAGATTTGTCAGAGACAGTGATGTCTCAATGCCAAATGGCAGATGCATGGTGGGCTAGATCACTCCTCTCAGAAGAAACCAAATGAAAAAACTAAAACCAGAAGTCTACTGTAAGGAAAGCAACTACATTGTGTTGTTTATCATAGCCTTCTGCTCTGGACTTCTTCAAAACACAGCAGATAGATAGCACCACAGACTTGAGGAGAGGGAAGAGATGAGGAAGAAAGTTTTAGGGTATGGCCCAACTCAAAATGAAAATAATTGAATTTCCTTGGTGCTTGGAGATTCTGATGAGTCACCAGGTTCATCATACCAATGAAAAAAGGAGTCAGACAGGCCCATTGTAACACTAGTTAATTGCCAAATATTTAGTAGTGCTAATGGGTCTATCAAATGTAGCCATCCTTTTCCTAGATGACTATTTTCTCTATTATCCTACTGTCCTGGTTCAACTAGGATAGGAACAAGTTTCTCCAGCAGATACAGAGGGTGAAAGGATCTCCAGCCGGGCAGGACCCATCGCGTCGGCTTTGTTGCCTGACCACTTAGCAGTATTTTTCTGTGTATCATTTGTCTTGTTCACTGTTATAGCTGTTTATTTTTCTTGTCATTGCTACTGTTGTTGTTCAGATTGTTTATCACACTGTTGTATTAAATTTCTTCTTATTTTAACCTGGGTTTCTGCCCCACTTCCAGCCCGACCAGCTGCGGGTGGGGGACGAGCAACGGCAACGTGCTCTCCGGTACCGTCAGGGCTTAAACCAGCACAGCCTTAATTGGCGCACCAACGTGGGACTGATATAAGAATAAAAAGGGACAGAACCTGACCAGAGCAATCTGTTTGGTGTAATTTTCTGTTTGTATTTGTTTGATAAGAAATTGTTTGCAATGCTGGCCCACTTGCTTGCCTGCTTGCAGTGCTGGACATGCTAGAGCTCCAGTATGAACTGGAGTTAAAGGCAGCCAAGTGGTACGCCACGACTGACATTGCTAACGTGTTCTTCTCCATTCTGATAGCGCCAGAGTGCAGGCCACAGTTTGTGTTCACTTGGAGAGGCATCCAGTACACCTGTAATCGATTGCCCCAGGGGTGGGACCACAGCTCCACCATTTGCCATGGACTGGTCCATACTGCACTGGAGAAGGGTGGGGCTCCAGAACACCTGCAGTATATTGATGACATCATTGTATGGGGGAACACAGCCGAGGAAGTCTCTGAGAAAGGGAAGAAGATGATTGAAATCCTCCTGAAGGCTGGCTTTGCCATTAAGCAAAAGAAAGTTAAGGGGCCTGCAAGGGAAATTCAATTCCTAGGGATAAAATGGCAAGATGGGCGTTGCCACATCCCAATGGAGGTGATAAACAAGATCACAGCCATGGCCCCACCAACCTCTAAAAAGGAGACTCAGTCTTTCCTGGGCACTATGGGGTTCTGGAGGATGCACATCCCGCACTACATCCTGATTGTGAGCCCACTCTACCACGTAACCCGTAAGAAGAACGATTTTGAATGGGGCCCTGAGCAACAACAATCCTTTGAACAAATTAAGCGGGAGATTGCCCAAGCAGTAGCCCTCGGGCCAGTCCAGGAAGGGCAGGAGGTTAAGAACATGCTCTACACCGCAGCCGGGGAGAATGGCCCTACCTGGAGCCTCTGGCAGAGAGCACCTGGGGAGACCCGAGGCCGACCTCTGGGCTTTTGGAGCCGGGGATACAAAGGCTCTGAAGCTAATTACACACCAACTGAGAAGGAGATACTGGCAGCGTACGAAGGAGTTCGGGCTGCCTCAGAAGCGGTCGGCACTGAAACACAGCTCCTCCTGGCACCCCGACTGCCGGTGCTGGGGTGGATCTTCAAAGGAAAGTCCTCCTCCACACATCATGCAACCGATGCCACGTGGAGTAAATGGGTTGCATTGATAACACAATGGGCTCGAATAGGGAACCCCAGCCGCCCAGGGATACTAGAGGTGATTACGAACTGGCCAGAGAGCAAAGATTCTGTGATGTCACCAGAACAGGAGGTGACACGTGCTAAGGAGGCCCCACCATATAACGAGCTGCCGGATGAGAAGCGATATGCCCTGTTCACTGCTGGGTCTTGTCGCATTGTGATGAAACATCGACGCTGGAAGGCTGCTGTATGGAGTCCCACACGACGCGTCACTGAAGCTGCTGAGGGACAGAGTCAATCGAGCCAGTTTGCGGAGGTGAAAGCCGTCCAGCTTGCTTTGGCTATTGCTGAGCAGGAAAAGTGGCCGAGGGTCTACCTCTACACCGACTCGTGGGCAGGGGTGAACACCCTGTGGAAATGGCTGCAGCAATGGAAGCAGAACAACTGGCAACGTAAGGGTAAAACTTTCTGGGCTGCTGAAGTATGGCAGGACATTGCAGCGCGTGTGGAAAACCTTGTTGTGAAGGTGCGCCATGTGGATGCCCATGTACCCAAGAGTCGGGCCACTGATGAACATCGACACAACCAGCAGGCAGACCAAGCTGCTAAGATTAGTGTGGCTCAGGTGGACTTGGACTGGCAGCGCAAAGGTGAACTGTTCATAGCTCGGTGGGCCCATAAGACCTCGGGCCACCAAGGTAGAGATGCAACATACAGGTGGGCTCGAGATCAAGGGGTGGACCTTACTATTGACACCATTGCAGAGATCATCCATGGATGTGAGATGTGTGCTGCAATCAAACATGCCAAGTGGGTGAAGACCCAGCGAAATGGAGAGTGATGGCTGAAATATAGATATGGAGAGGCCTGGCAGATCGACTGCATCACACTGCCACAGACCCGCCACAGGAAGCGCCACGTGCTCACAATGGTGGAAGTAACCACTGGATGGATGGAAGCCTACCCAGCACCTCACGCCAGCGCTCGGAACACCATCTTGGGCCTTGAAACCCAAGTCCTGTGGCGACACGGCACCCCAGAGAGAATTGAGTCAGACAACGGGACCCACTTCTGAAACAACCTCATAAATGCCTGGGCAGAAGAACACGGCATCGAGTGGGTCTACCATATCCCCGACCACAGACCAGCCTCTGGGAAGATGGAGCGCTACAATGGACTGTTAAAACCCACATTGAAAGCACTGGGAGGTGGGTCCTGCAGAGACTGGGACATGCATCTAGCAAAGGCCACCTGGCTCGTCAACACAAGAGGATCTGTCAGTCGAGCTGGCCCGGCTCAGTCAAAACCTCCCCATGCTGTAGATGGGGATAAAGTCCCTGTGGTGCGCATGAGGAATATATTGGGAAAAATGGTCTGTTTAAGTCCTGCACCAGGCACAGGTAAAGGCAAACCCATCCACGGGATTGCTTTTGCCCAAGGACCTGGGTGCACCTGGTGGGTGATGCAGGACAATGGCAAGGTCCGATGTGTACCACAGAGGGACTTGATTCTGGGTGAGAACATGCCGTGAACTATGCTGTGCCTGTGTGATTTATTACTTTGTTATTGTTAACTGCTAAATGGCAGCTGGACATGACGCAGATGGTATCGAATAAAGGGGTGGATTATGTCCTGGTTCAGCTAGGATAGGGTTAGGTTTCCCCAGCAGAGAGAGAGGGGGAAGGGATCTCCATCCGGGTTATTCATACCATGCTGATGTCACGTCCAGGGGCGGAAACTTTACCTTTGTCTTTGGCTTTTGGTGGCGGGACCCATTGCATCGGCTTGGTTCCCTGACCATTTCCGGTATTTCTCTGTATATTGTTTGTCCTGTTCACTGTTATTGCTGTTTATTGTTGTTATCATTGCTACTGTTGTTGTTCAGATTGTTTATCACACTGCTGTATTACATTTCTTCTTATTTCAACCCGGGTTTGTGCCTCACTTCCAGCCCATCCTGCTGAGGGTGGGGGAGGGGCAACGGCAACGTGCTCTCTGGTCCCTGCAGGGCTTAAACCAACACACCTACAGAGGCCATTTTGAAAATTTTCTTTGTAGATAATGTAGATCAGTACATCTTCAACAGGAATGGTTGCCTTGGCTTCTCAAATTATCTAATTTCCATGTGGAATATGACGCAATCATGAGAAGGTCTCAGTGGCTTGAATCCCTTCAGATTGTGGAAGGAAAAGTGCTCTAGAGGTTAGATTATGACAGAGAAAGTGACACCTATTTCTCTCTTTCCAAATAGGTGACCATGGCTTCTCAGTTGTATGCTGATATCTACGAAGTATGAAATCCCACAATTTGAGTGAAGCCAAACTAAGCAAATTATCTGGATTACCCTGGAGAGTATGTAGGAGTTAAGTGACTGCCTGACCAGTTTAGAAGATTCAGGGGACTTTTGGGAACAGACTATAAACAATAAACAATGAACACTGACCATGAGGTAGCTGGTTGAGCTGCCCTTGGAATGCTGGTTTGCACATCACATCCATGAATGAAAGTTTAAAAGTAGCTCTCAGTTTTATATGTCCTCTAAACTATGTTTCTAAGTGGTTTGAAGGACTGAAGGGGTTTAAACTGAAAAAAGATCTAGTAAATAAGACACATGATTTAGTAGAACAACCAATGATTAGACCGGATTACAGGAAGATGCCATAAATTCTTATTATTTGGACAGAACCTTTGAATTAAAACCTATTGTATTCCTAAAGCAGAAGTTTCAAGGGATAATTAAATTCTGTTGCAAAGAAATAATGGTTTTCTCCCTTAAGGAAGTCTTAGATAAAATTCCAGAATTTTAGAGAATGAAGACAGATATCTGATTAGACCACTTTAACAGTGGCTGAAACACTTTAAAAATACCCAGAGCAAGATTTTTAATTGAATGAATTTAAATAAGGAAAAATATAAACCTTATTGAGAATTCAAAGTAATGATTAAAATACAACAGTGCACTTCTCATTATTTCCATGGGAAAATCTCTACTATTTTTATTATCTAGGCATTAATTATCTAGAGGTTGATGACGCACTAATCAGTGATTACAAAATCTAAATGATAGAATTTCACATTTTGTGCAATTCTCTTTCACTTTACACTACTGAAGGCATTTACTCTTCACTTTCTGCCTTCTTGCCAATTTCGCGGCTCTTTGCTCGGAGCTTGTTGACCTGGGACTCTGCAATGTCAGCCCGCTCCTCGGCTTCCTCCAGCTCGTGCTGGATCTTGCGGAATTTGGAGAGGTTGACATTGGACAGCTCCTCCTGGGAATAGGAATAGAGATAAAATAGGTTTTAAAATGCACTGCACTGGACATGCTGTGGTATTTCGCGTTTATGTTAAAAAAAAATCTCTGACTGTGAGTTAGTATGTAATTCTCTCCCATACTTCCAGGGGTAATCCAAAGAAATAGCTTAAACGCTAAATGTTTAGATGATTAATAATATATACTAGGAATCCCTCTCTGGATATGAAGTGCTAATAAAGTTTGGAATTTTTGAAAAAATAGTTTATAATTACAGATATTTCCATTAAATAATTTCCCATTTATTTACTGCTATAAAGTATATATTACAATTTTTAAGGTATATTTTTTTTCCCTGCTAGACAGAAATATGTAATAAAAAAAGTGAAAAGAAGCAGAGACCTACTCCCACATAAACCTGGCCTTTGCTGCTCTTCCCAGTGATGCAGTAATGCTCATAGAAAATGTATTCTACACCCCTCTAGACCTCTGAGCTCTTCAGCCAGAACAGCTGATAAGCTGTTTTTCCTGAGTGCACAATGAGAAAAGGGCACAAAATTTAAGGGTTCAAACACAAGTATGCCGGGGGAAAACACCATTACACCACCACAGAATTCCACCTCCACCTGGATGGAGACGGACTCTGCACACAACAATACTTACAGCCTCCTCAGCTTGTCTCTTGTAGGATTTCACTTTCATTTGAAGCTTGTCCACCAGATCTTGGAGCCTGAGAACATTCTTCCTGTCTTCTTCAGACTAAAGAGAAGAACAAGAAAGAGAAGCACCTCTTTGCCTTCCACATGAAAGAGAGAGTAACACTCCTCATAGACCATTGCTGCTAAGACAGAGGTAACAAGCCGAATCTTCCTAATGTGATCAGAAAGACAGTTTCTTCTGATGTTCTCAGTCTTATGCTTTTCAACTGTGTGACTCAGGACAGAAAGCAATACCTAAGGGCTATATTTTGGCAATCTTCAAGAAGAGCGTATGAGCTCATGGAGGCCTCCTGCCTTACCTGGTAGGTCAGCTCCTTCACCCTCCTCTCGTACTTGCGCACGCCCTTCACGGCTTCAGCGCTGCGCTTCTGCTCAGCGTCAACCTCCGCTTCCAGCTCCCTCACCTGCAATGAGAAGCCCGGCTTTGGAGCTTCCGTGCTGCTTATTTGCATGACACGTTCTCTCACGCACAACTCAAAGCCCTACGCACTCTGGCCTCCAGCTTCTGGATTTGCTTCTTGCCTCCCTTCAGTGCCAACTGCTCGGCCTCATCCAGACGGTGCTGCAGGTCCTTCACCGTCTGGTCCAGGTTCTTCTTCATCCTCTCCAGGTGGGCACTGGTGTCCTGCTCCTTCTTCAGCTCTTCGGCCATCATGGCTGCCTGAAGGGAGCAAAGGGTGAAAGCCATTTTGGGGTTGGAGACATTTTGGGGAGAACACATCCTCCAGTAGCAGTGAAAGGAGCCCCCAGCTCACATCTGTGATGGCCTTCTTGGCCTTCTCTTCAGCATTGCGGGCTTCCTGGATCGTATCCTCCATTTCACCCTGAATTTGGGCGATGTCTGTTTCCAGCTTCTTCTTGGTGTTGATCAA